AGCAGCCGCTCCCCACAGCTCTCCAAAGAAACATGATTTTTACATGAGTCATTTCAAACATTCATTTACAGAAATTAGCCACCTGGACCAGTCATTTTGCTCACTGTTTGCTTCTACTGACTGCAGTTGATGTTGGGGATTCAAAAACCCATCCAGGGTGTTTATCAGAGCTGCAGATTTATTAGCTGTAGTTTCACAGCTGGGATTATTCTCATTTGTAGACACCAGGTCTGAGCGATATTGTTGAATTTTAAAATGATCTTAATAACACGCTTCGTTTCAGTCATGCTGATGATAATTGATCCGTTTTAATGGCCTATTTTAAAAAAAAGACCAGACCAGTTGAAGAGCTTTAGCGTATTGATGAAGGTACACCTGTAATAAATGAACTGAAATAAACACATAAAACCTGCAGAGAGGGCGACCAGAGTGAAACTGCTCCTCAGATTAAATTTCTTAATGACGAGCCTGGTCTGGGTGTCAGATCCAACACTGACCTTGCTGCACATCTGCTTTGGTAGTTTTTGGAGCAGGCTGTTGAGAGTTTTTTGGTTTGGAGGAGATTGTTTTTCACAGACTTGGATGATGAAGGCACTATACAGCCACAGACTAGCTGGTCTCAGGAGACCTGCGCGGCTCCATTATCAATATAATTACGACAGGCTGGTCGAGGGAGGCAGCACACGAGGGCTTTGTACATGCAGCCAAACTTTACATCTTCATTAAGTGCTTACATGGCAGTTTGCATCTGATGCTTTCAAGTAAAACTGTAGAACCTTCTATCGACCTGTTTTCTTATTGCTGTTGGTAAAGCGTCTATTGCTGGTAATGGATACGTCAGCCATGAACAGGTTACCCAGTGAGCCAACCAAAACTCCACAAAATTGCGTTCCGATACAACTAAACTACATTCTCAATGATGTTTTGAGGGGACTGTATTATTTTATTACTGTGAATGTCGATTTTTTTTTTTAAATAAATGTAATTTGTGACCTGCGACACAGTGGGGCAGGTGGCCACTTTAAAAGAGCGCCATGTCCACGTTAAAAGGTAGGAGGAGAGCACAGAGGCAAAAAAAACAAAACAAACCTGTACATGTTGGAAGCCTGTTAAGGTTAGGCACCAGAATTACTGAGTTAAAATTAGGGGAAATATAATGGTTTGGGTTAAAATACAGCCCTTTTGCTAGTGTCAACTCCACTTTTTAGGTTCCCAGGGTGACAAGATCCAATACCTACATGATTATTTGGCAAAATAGGAGCAACAGTGAAGCAATAAAATAAATGGGAACGACGCATTAATTAGAAATGTTTAGTTGAATAGGATCACAGTTTTGTGGAGACTGGATTGAGTGAGCGCATCAAGAAGGAAATAAACCAGAATTCTTTTTATTTTTGCAGCATTAAAATGAGTGTATGGCAGCATGAATTAGGTCTTAACTACTCATTTAAATATAGAAACTGAAAGAGTCTTCAACAGGTACATCTAACCCAGATGTCTAAAAACAACCCAGAATGTAGCCCAGCGTTACTGTTCACATCTTTTCACCTTAAAATCACCAAATTAGAAGCTAATGGGAGAGTAAAGGCTTGTGTGCGTTTGTGTTCGTCTGATTTGTTGTTGGGACAAAGCAGTGAACGGAAAGTTTTAGGCGTGTTGGATGTCCCGCAGTACATCCTGTTATGATATCAGTGTTGTACAGTACACAGATAATGCAGAGATTTCAGTCCAATGCACTGCTGATAGTGTTTAAAAGCGTTACCACTCCGCCCACCGCTTCAAACATCTTACACATTCACTTAGCTCTATATTAGGCCGTTTGTAGGTCACAGTGGAAATGACAACTTCATCTGTCACTTCTTTCTGACGTGTTACTCGATTCCGTCCAATAAGCCTGCTCGGGGATCAGGGCTCTTCTTGGAGAATAGCCTGTCATAGATTTGTCACACATGGGAGATCCTCAGAATGAGTGGGAGATCCAGCCAGCATCCAGCATCCCCCTCCTCCATCGCCTTCACAGGAAACATCACATTTGCTGCTAAGAATAAGCTCAAATTTACATTTATTGACTCACATCTTACATCGAAGTAAGCATTTTTTTTTCTCTTCTTTTTACTGAACTACAAGAAAGGCAGCGTGTTAAAAGATTCAAGAGGATTCATGCTGGTGGAAATCATCTCCTTCAGAGGAGTGCTTTTTCTCAGAAACGCTGTGTTTTTATTTATATGAAGCAAAGGTCGGCTGTGGAGGGAGGAGGGAGCAGATATTACTACTCAAGCCAACTCTGCTTTAATAATACACCTGCTCTCCATCTCTCTCTTCTCTCCTTCCTGAATATTTGTTCTCCAGGAATCAGTGGAGGCATGCTTACATAATGCTGCCGGGTTTCCCTTGAGGGCTGTGTGTGCACGCGCACGTGTGAGCGCATGTGTGCAGCACATCAGTCTATTTTTGCTGCTCTGATCTCGACTCGAGGCCGTACTGTAAACCTGTAACACCCAGCGATCTGAGCGCCTGCAGAAATGACTGTAAGCAGCAACATGACGACAGGCAGCGCGATCTGGGTCACTGACAGTAACCACCTCTGCAGCCAGATAGGGACGAAATCCCTTTACTGCCCCCTTGTGGACACAGAAGTATCACACTGCTGTGTTTAATGTCACCGCTGGAACAGAGTGTCTGAGCTGAAGTCACTTTAATTTTGCAAGAAGAGTTTAGGCTAGAAGTAGAGAGAACTCAAAAATGTCCTCTGTGCCGCATGGCTCACTTATGAAGATATTAACTATGAAAAAGACAAAAAAGAAGCTGAAGTTCTTTCATTGTTTGTTTTACAAAAATTTTTCAATGTTCACATTTTTTTTTCAAATATTCACAGGGGGCACCAATGCTGGGAAATAAACAGGGGCTCCAGATACCATAGATTTTTTACTTTTTATAGTCTTATAGCCTCTATTTAAAAAAGAAAAAACAAAAAAAAGGCATTTTTCATAGTACTCAAACTTTTTGGAATTTTTGCTGTGTAACTGTTGGACACAGCTGAGTTAATGATGGCTTCTCAGTTGTAAAGAGGAGCACAAAATGTTTTGGTTTTAGTAAAATCTATTAAAAAACATTTCATTTGGGGGATTTTTTTTAATGAGACGTGCATGAATGTTGTCATTTTAACGAAAATTCCAACCTAAAGCTTGGATTTGGCTATTTTTTTGGAACCGAACATCACACGTGATGTGTTACAGATTATCAGAAAGTAGAAATCAGGTTATTCTTTCTGTTTTTACAGTACCTGGCTAAGAAAATGTATAATTTAGTACATTTTCTTGTCTTTTTTTCTTTTAGGAAATGTACGTTGGTGCTCAGAGGGTTAATCCGCTGCAACCCCTTTTGGTTTTTTGTGGTATTTTGAAAAATTTTGCGCAGCTGGAGCAGCAGGTCTCACAAATACCATTTTATTTTTAAGAAAGTCCATCTGTTTTTAAGAATTATTAATTCAATAGTATAAAAATATGTATCTAAAACTGAATTTAGTTTTTATTGTTTGATACGATGAAGTTTGACTCGTTAAAATTATAATCCGTACATGATAGTTTGCTCCCTTTATGTATGTGAATGGGGTGGATGACTTATTAAGAACACTTATCACTATAATGGAGTGCAGTCCACCACCACCCACTGTGACCTGAACAATAAACATCAAGTTGAATCATCACCGTTTCAACTAAAAAAACAGAAAATCCAATAAATAGTGACTAAGTGACTCCATTGACCCTCACTGCTGTGTTTTTACAACACTAAAAACAATCTGTCCAAATCATGTGTTTCATACTGTTTTTTTTTTTTTCAAGAGTTTTCAACTGCTCAGCATTAGAATACATTTTTTAAAATTACAGCAGGCCACATATTCAGTTTAATAATTGTAGAAATTGATCCCAAAGAGAGAGCCAGGAGGTCAGTGGGAGAAATCCATGTTTTTAAAAGTGGATTAGATTATGACTTACCCAAACCTTGGTATTACAATATTTCAATATACACGAGGCAACTTCTGGGCCGTAAAAAAAAAAAAAATGGACAAAGGCGTTTTGGGAACACATCAGAGGTCATGGATGCTCTCATAGGAATGATATGTATGTGTGCAAAGCAATGGAGAAACAAACCGTCAATTACTCTGAATACGTGCAAATCATTTACGATGTAAAATGAATCAAAGTCAAAACACTGAAGGCTTAATTCAGGTTATGAGTTTTGATTTGTGTGCAGTTCAAATGAAGAATGGGTTTTTGTCTCAGATTGTGCTATTTGAAGGGTTTCAGCGGTCTAATCATGTAAAAGTTTGCCTGTTTCCAGTCTTCAGTCTTCATCACTATATTGTTCATAGCCCAAAATAAAAGCCTTAATTTTGTGGGACAGATTTATATTCCTTTTATTCTTACAATTATCTGACTCATTATCTGGTTAAAAAATACTGTATTGTTAGTACAACTTAAATTTCCAGTGTATTAAAAATGCTCTTTCACTGAAGTTTGTTCTCTTTTTGTTGCCAGTGAATGAATAATGTGAGCTCACCATGAACTCAGTCACCAGTCTGTCAATCTTGTGTGTCAGAAACATGCACATGTGACTTAGCATGTGTGCGCTGTCACTGTCATGTGTGAATCTTGGCTTGAACACGTGTGTGCGATAGATTATTAGATTCCTGGCTGAACATGATTAAAGCCACAAAGATTTGAACTTGTAGAAGTCGCCGACTGGTTCTGCAAATTAGAAAACTGACGAGAGGAGCTGAGCGATCCTAGTGTTGTGATTAAAATGGCTTTCTCTTACCTACTTCTGCTCGTCAGTGTCATGCTTGCTTGCCTCAAATGTTTTCCCTCATGAGGGGTTGTGTCCAAAAGCTCATGTCGTTGGTCGAGTGTTCGTTTTAATGATCTGTTTTGTGAGGATATGTGTACTTTTCTTTCTCTTCACATTGTTTCTTACCTTTCTCTGTCTGTGTCTCACTCCAGGTTGCTATTATTGCTGGGAACTTTGAGCTTGCTGAGCTCATCAAGAACCATAAAGAGTCAGATATAGGTGAGTACCAAAGCAGCAGCTTTTCTTTTCCTCCCCTCCATCCATTTTTCACCTATCCTTCCCTATACCAAGCGCATATTCCTGAATCTCCCTTGGGATACATTTCAAATCCCCCCGTGGTTTGATCCTCCTAAATGACCTCCCGGTATAATCCCCTGTGCGGGATTACGAAAGCGCTGCCAAGAGGATGAAAGTTTATGTTTACACCAGGACAATCTCGGGCCGATTAGGCCGGGAGAAATGATCAATGCTTTGGCCCGGTGGAGCTTTTGACTCAGCTGGCTGCCCAGAGGTGTCGAACGATCTGTGTGGTTCTGCCAGCAGGGGTTTGATTAAGTTGGTAGATCTTGTATTGATTGTGATTGGTTTTTATACAACACAGTGTTCAGTTTAGTGCAGGTTTTTTAGATTGTTGTGTGTGTCAGACTTACGTAAGAGTTTGTAAATCTGATAACTTGTCAGGAACCAAACGGATCTCATATTAGTGGATTTTTACTATGTTAGTGTGAGCTGTGGCAGTGGTGGATACCAACGTACCACGATGTGAAAATACTGCTTTGCAAGACTTGCATTTAAAATCCTGCTTAAAGATTTCAACCATAAGAAGTGAAAGTACTGGTTACAGCTAGAAGAATGTCCACTGTGATGTATTACATGATAAGATGCAGCAGTGGCTGTTAGGTAGTGGTCCAATGGTTCTCAACATAGGGTCTGAGGCCTTCTAAAGGCCAGCCAGCTAAGGTATCCAAGGTATTATGCAATGATTGACAGCGTAAGAAAGAAGAAAGCTGAAGTTCTCTTGTATAAATTTATTCATATTTTTGTACTTGTTCTCTGATCTTTGACCGTCTTTTGCCTCTTTAGGCTTCAGTTATTTCAGTGAATCAGTCGCAGAGGTTAAAGGTCAGTTCGATTCTGTGTTCAAGAGGGTCCTCGTGACATAAATGCTCTCATCTGTCATGTGTGAATGTCCACATGCAACCATGTAATTGTTACAAGGTGCTGACTGCACATGTGCAGGGAAGATAACGGTGCTCAAAGTAAATGCTTGTTTTGAGGAGAGGCTGTGTACGTTGATTGTCCATCATCCACACCTTTCCAGTTCATCGCTGAGATTTGTAACTGAAGTAGTTGTTTCAGGAATTTGGAAGTGCTTTAGTTTGTGTATGCTTTCCATCAAGGGAGCCTAAGGCGAGTTGTAATTTCTCCAGAAATCCTGTATCATGTCCATCATCTGCGCTCTAGACATCTCAGAAATAGACACTGACGAGGCGTCACAGTCCAATCTGTAGCCAGCTGCCATCACCTGTAAAAGAGCAAATTCACAGCCTTTCAGAAACGTGTTTCATACGTAGAGCAATGCCACCATCTGCATAGCAAAGCAACAAGCAACTCGTACTCTGGTGTATGTTTGTTCTGTGTAAACAGAGTGCAGCCAACTTCTTCTTTGACATGGTGTCATTTAGTGTGGAACCGACTCTGAGTAAAGGTTCCTTAGACATTAAATAATCTGCAGTGTCCATTAGGTGGAGCGAGTTCGAAGTTGCGAAAACATGAGGATGTTCATCGGTACTGCTGCCAAAAATATGGATTAATCCTGGAAGGGTGCTGATGTGGAGCTTTTCTCCTCATGAAACCAACACTGGAGATGGATGAGAGCATATTGAGTGTGTTTTAGTACAAATAAAATGGTTTGTATGTTCATAGTTCACAATCAAAGTCCTTCTAAAGTAAAAAACAAAAAACAAAAAAACTGCTAAACATCTGAAAAGTGAGAACTAACCAATGCTGGTTTTCAAGGGGCCACAGGGGCGTTACTTTCTTGTTTTTATATGCACCTTCTTTAGGCAAGAAGCAACTCCTGTCACATTGATTTTGGGAATAGAAAGCTAAGACTAAGTGAGGATTAAAACAGTCTCCATAAATTAACTGGAATGTGGCCGCTGCTTGTTAAGGGTTAAGACTTCATGAAAATGTGTGTAGTGTACGATGTATAGCATTATTTCACTCTGTGTACGTGAGAGGGAGGTGAGAAGACAAGAAAGGTTTTTCACAAACATGAAAAAAGCAGTTTTTGAACAAATTCCATGTTTTTTTTTTTCCCTCTTCTTGCTATTTATTACCTTCGTTGCTTAGTTGCCGCTTATTAAGTTGTGGAGCGGCAGATTGGTGATGTCAACAGACTCTGCTCTGATTTAACACCTGATAAAGTGACATTTTCAAGCCAAGCAAACAACCACAAATCCTTTACAGCTTCTACATACATTTAAAATCAACTGCTTTTTGGTTCACTGTGGCGGGGTGAATGTAGGCTGAAAGTAAAAACTGCCTCCACTGAAATGAACACTACTGGGATTGTGGTTTGGGCCTTTGGTTTGTCGAGCGCAGAGATGACTCGGGGATTACAGGGCCTTAGAGAAAATGAGAAAAGATGAACAAACAGATAAATAAATAAATACACAGCGGATGACAGAGAAAAGATGAGGTTGAGGGCGAAATGAATGAAGAGAGAGAAGAGAGGGAGGAATCTAATCTAATCTAAAGATGTAATCCTGCAATTGTTGACCCCCTCTCATGGACGCCACCCACCAGTGGCAGCCTCACACGATGGCGACGTGGTGGAGGGCTAAATGGAACACCGTGACGATGCAGGATTACCCCCAAAAAAGCCCAGGCGCTGTCGACAGCTGCTGCTCCCCCCAACACCATCACCTCCCTCCTCCATCCATTCACACCGTCCCAACAGCGAGCGCTCGGCTATGAGTGCTAGCCAGGATTAGCTAAAGGTGCACAAGTTGGTGTTTGGATACTGCTCTGAAGCGGAATTTGGGATGGGACATGTTTACTCTTGGATGTTTGATTGGCCGCCATGGGTTCAGCCTGCTGCAGAGGTGGGTGCCCCCCATCATCAACCTCCTCCAACCCCCTGACCTTTACTCCCGTCAACCCAAGCTCCTTGACTCATCGCCCAGCCCACTCCTTTTCACCCGAGACAGCTTGTGTCGTGTTGAGCCTCTTGCTTGCTATAGGCCGCTTTAGTGCGTTTAAATGTTGATCACGGTGACTTATGGTGTGTGTGAGAGTGTGTTTGAATGTGTGTGTGTGTGTCTAAACACCATAAGCCCTGTGGCTTTCACAGTTTATCTTGCTTACTCGGTGCAGATGATGTAACACACAAATCTGCCGTTTGTTACGTCATTGTTTTAATATTTCACCGCATTCTCAAGGCAAGACTGACAACTGGGTAACATGGAAGTGACTGATAGGTGCTGCAGACTCTAGAAGAGGGCTACTGTTAACTGTTATTGTCATTGTCGATTAAATCCTTGAACCAAAAAACTTTTAAAGACTCATTTTCTTCGAAATATTACCCAAAAAGACCCAATTTATCAGCAAGAATCTGAACAAGAGGAATCAATGATTTTCAACAGTTCGACAGGCTATGACTGCATCATGTATGATGTGTGGTTCAGGGAAAAAAATACACAAAATAAGCTAAAAATTTGTGATATTTCTTGGCAGAACCTTTATTCTACATGCCTAATCAAAAAAACCCCATCAAAAATAAACTGCACTAGATCGTCTAAAAACCTAAAATTCTAAACTCCTTTGCACAGCTGTAAAGCCAAGACTTCATTGAACACTGTGTACAGGGAAGCAAGTGTGCCAGCATGTTGTTGGAAGATGCATTCAGCCTGGTGAAATATCTTTGTAGCACCTGGTTTGTAGAGGTTGAAAGGAGTATAGTTTCAAAACTAGGTGGAGCCCACATTTTCTTCCCAGTATTGGTAACACCTCTAGGCGCTTTGGAACATTTGTAGAAGTTGAATCCAGGTTTTTGTAAAAAAATAAAATAAAATAAAATAAAATTAATAATAATACTAATCTAAAAAATGTAACTTTTGATTTTGTCTTGTTTTGTGTTTCATAGTGTTTTACTGAGATTTCTACTTCTACCTGTGGTCGTACTGTTGCCATAGAGGTGCAGGACCTTATACAGAAGTAATTTGCAACTTGGTTCATCACTGTCTTGCTAAATCAATTAATTCATCTGTAAAATGTTAGAAAATAGAAAAAAAAATTCATTCAGCATTTCCCAAAGACAAGATGAAATCCTCAAATGTCTGGTATTGTCTATGATACAGAGACGTTCTTTTACTGTCACAAAGAAGAAAAGAAACCAGAAAAAAGTCAACATTAAAGATCTGGATTCAGGATTTGTTTCATTTTTTTAATTAAAAAAAAAAAAAAAAAAAAGAATACTCAAACCAAATAATTAATGAATGATTAAAATGCTTGTTAATGAATTTAATAGCTGGTAATGATTCAACTGCAGCTCAATGAAATTCTGTTCCTAAACTAACAATTCATTCAGCATAGGTTAAGCTGATTATTTATTACAAGATGTCCTTTACACTTTTCCAGAGCTAAATTAGATTAAATATTTTTTTGTTGGATCATCCGTCTAAAACTAAAAGATTTTGAGCTTAGACTTACATGGAACATAGAAAAACAAATATTCCCTTTGGAAAGGCTGGAACCGAGGAAAAAATCTGCTTCACAACCGGCTGGTAGCTGCTGGCTGTTTTTAGAGGTATTTTAGTTCTGTGTCTCAGCTGTTTCATACTGTCAGTCAGTGTCTCCCAAAGCCCAACATGACGTCCTCAAATGTCTTGTTTTGTTCACAACCCAGAGATATTCAGCTTACAGTCACAGCGGAGGAAAGAAGCCAGAAAATATTCACATTTAGAAGCTGGAATCAGAGAATTTAGCCTCAAACTGATTAATCGATGATCAGAACAGCAGATTTTGAAACACACTTCATCAACTTAAATTAAATGAGAAAAAGCGTTAAAGTTTCCTGCATTTTAGCCTTGAAAGAGAATTTTAAAAATTCATTTTTGCTCTTTCATCCCACAGAGTACTTTATGAAACGTAACCATCCACATCAGATCAGAGAGACGCCACATGCATCTGCTTAAACTGCACAATTCTCCTAC